AACTGTCTTAGCTGAAGATAACTTCTACCCTGCTTAAATTTATATTTATGTCCCCTAACATTCTGATTGTAAACTGGTTTCAACTGGAATCTACTAGATGTAATTTCGTCAACTTAGTATAACTGGAATACACTTGATGTCATCTTATTGCAAACTGGGAGTAAAAGGAATTTACTAGATGCCATCTCATTGTGAATTGGGTTCAAAAGAAATCTACCAATTGTCATATGTTTTTGAATTTGATTTAGCTAGAAGCTGCCACATTTTACCTGATTATGAAATGGGTTTAACTGGAATATACTGGAATTTATCATGTTATCAACTAAGTTTAACTATAGTTTTATTTACTAGTTACTAACTGATTGTGAATTGAGTTTAAATTCAATTGATTTGTTGTACCCTTGTTGAAAACTGTGTTTAAATGGAATTTATTTAACGTTATCTGGTTGTAAATTAGGTTTAACTGGTTGACATTCCAGTTATGATTTTGGTTTGAGCAGAATGTGTTAACTGTATCTTGCTTGTAAAATAGGTTTAACTGAAATCTACCAGGTGTGATTTATTTATGGACTGAGTTAAATGGTATGTACTGGATGTTATCTGGTTGGGCTAAGTTTAGATAGAATCTAATGAATGCCATCTGGTTATGAAATGGATTTAACTAGAACCTTTTGGTAGCCTAGTGGATACCACCAGGTTTTGAATTATTCCCACCCTGTTACAGTATAAGCAAGAGGTTTATTTCATTCAATTGATGTAAGTAACATTATTTTGCTTGAAACATATCAAAGTAATTAAATCTGAGAAAATGATGCAAACTCCTGGTAAACAATTCCTGACACTACATACTAAAATAATTTTCTTTAAAACTCCACATTAGATTTATTAAATGCTTGGTCGATGTTAAGCACAAAGCTACACAATGGGCAAACTGTGTTATGCTTATCATGAGTATAAACTCGATTTTAGCATTGTTAAGCCTGCAGACTTACCACAGAGCTACATGAGGCTTTATTGAGTACATGTTAAAAATCTTTCATCTTCTCACCCAAAAATGCAGAAGCCTTATCAAAACTTTCCAATAAGCTTAACCAGAATTATTGACTGTATCAGACTTTTAAACACACTTTTTCAAACTATTTATATATCAAATTGTTTGTGGGCCCATGACTTTTTGGTTACAGGATCCCTAATAACATACGAGTAATACAAATACAAAAATACCATCACTACTGAAATTAAGTCTAATAATTACTGCCTCGATCCCTATGTGATTTCCATTAAAAATGAGTAATTTCAACAGATGTTTCATTAAGTTCTACACAATGAGTACTGTGACAGGTAAAAACAAAAATATTACTTAATATGATCAATATGTGGACCATACTGGTAGTTAAAAGTATGTAAACGAGTCAGTAATTTGTGGATTAAGTCAAAATCCTTTCTAAAACTATTATGAGTATCATATGCTAAACACTAACATTTCAGTATTTTTATAAATGGACACTAAGACTATAGTGCCAATATTTACTACCAACAGAAATCAAACCAATAGGTCTGTAATTTAATTAATCTTTCATTGATTTTTTTGTTTTTTGAAATATTGATCACACTATTGATTTTTCATTCATCAAGAATTTTACCTGTGTCATGTGGAAAATTAATGATAAGGATACAGCTATCAATAAGTTAAAAGTACAAGTTAGTATTCAAAAACTGTTACCATATACAAATTTCATACACTTCTTCATCATTACATTTCTAGACACTGGTTCATTAAGAGTAAAAAAAAATCATGCTTAAAGTTGTATTTGCTGTCATCACTCTATAATAATTTTGCCATTTTCAGAATAACAATCTACAAAAACAATTCAATAGGACAACCTCTGTTCATTTGTACATGTATGTTAAATATACACGACTGTATAAGTTTAATGTGAGTGTTAAAGTTATTTTTAGAAGCAATAATTTATCGCAATTTTGTGTAGTAACTGTTTACGAATCATACATACATTGTGTAGTTCAATCGTTGTAAATTGGTGATTGTTATATTAATGCATCATGTTATTAGAACCTTCTGTGTTTTCATTGTTTTAATTGAGTATTATTGCATCATAATATCTCGTAGTGTGTGGAACATTCTTGACCTCTGTTGTAGTAAAAATACACATCAAAAATTCAGTTTGAGAGTTAGATAGATCTAGACTGCATGATTGTGAGTTTAGCCATAGGATTGTATAGTGGCAATTTTTAAAGTGAAATTATCACAGTCTTGCAAGAAGAAGAATTTGTCTTGTCAAACTGTGTTCTCACTGAACCAGCTTGTGTGGACTTTGACAAAAAGAAGACAATCATTTAAAGCTCTGGATAGAACTGTGACAACCAACAGTGTAAAGAACATTTGTATATACGTTTGACTTGTTTAAATATATTATTGTAAAACACATGGACTGTGCACTGTTTGTTTAGTGTTGACATTTATTTCCAACAAGTCACCTACTGTAAAGAATCTGGCCAATACATAAAACATGACAATGTAATAAGCAATTTTAAACTTAACCAATTTATAATATATAGAACATGAATATATCTTAATCATACAATCTTTCAACATTTTTGTACAGGTAAATGTTTTTAAAAATATAATCTTATATAATGAATATACCTACCTTTGAAAAGGGCTGTTACTGCCCTTGCAAGGGAATGGTTATTAAGATAGTCAAAGAACATATTTATCTCAATATCTGGTGAACTTGCTAGATAATCTTTAAAACAATTTTTAATGAGTTATTGGTATGTTGCTTACACATGTACACAGAGATACATGATTTGTTTGCTAAGGGATCTGCCTAATGACATGTGATTTGACATTCTGGAAATTATAACATAAAATAATGTTTAGAGACAACAAGGGACGTATTGGTCCATCTAGGCTGTCCATCCTCTAAACTAAACTAAAACTATTAAAATAATAATAATAATAATAAACACCCTTAGGGCCAGCCTTTATCATTCATATAATTATCAAGCTTTCTCTTAAACTCACTTAAATTTACTGTCTCCACAACATCTGAAGGAAATCCATTCCAAAGGCCAACCACCCTGTTAGAAAAAGAAAACTGTCTTAGCTGAAGATAACTTCTACCCTGCTTAAATTTATATTTATGTTCCCTAGTCCTACCATTTTAATCATTAAGTATGAAAAAAGATAATGCATCAACACCATCAATTTCCTTAACAATCTTAAACACTTCAATCAGATCCCCACTAACTCTTCCGTTTTCAAGAGAAAACAATTTCAGAAATCTTAACCTCTCCTTATATGACAACCTCCCCGTCCTACGCACCGTTCTAGTAACCCTCCTCTGAACCATTTCTGACAATTCTATGTCCTTCCTAAGGTAAGGAGCCCAAGACTGTACACTATATTTCAAATGGGGCCTAATCAGTCACCTATACAATGCAATTATACCCTTATTAGATTTGTATTCAATATTTATGTAGATACAAACTAAAATATTATTTACCCTACCATTAGCACCAGCTCACTGTTTGGATGGCTTAAGAGACTGATCATCCAATGCACCAAGATCCCTTTATTTCATAACACTGTTAAGGTTATTTCCATCCAAATTATATTTATAATTCAAATGATTATAATCCACATGCATTAAATCCCATCTGTCATTCATTCACCCAACTCATAAATGATCTAAATCATTTTGTAAAGCAGCAGAATCTTTTTTTACAGCCATCAACACCCAAGACCTTAATATCATCAGGACATTTAAGTAATTTATTGACCATTCCTTCGTTTAGGTCATTGATGTAAATGAAAAAGAGCAAAGGTCCTGAGACTGAGTCCTGAAGTTCACCACTTGTGACATTAATCCAGTTTGACTGAACTCCATTACCCCATTTATAACAACCCTCTGCTTTCTTCCATTCAGCCACTCTTCTATCCAATTACCTAACTTATCTCCCATACTTATAGAGATATTTTTTTACAAGACTTCATGTGGCACTTTGTAAAATGTTTTCTGAAAATCCAGATACACCAATCTACACCTTTACCCTCATCTACATAAGCATTAACCTTTACAAAGAATATCAAAAGATTTTCACTTAGTGAAACCATGTTGACTATCCAATAAAAATTCTAAACTTTGTTAAATGATTTTGCAAAGCATCTTTTAACAGACTTTCCAAAACTTTTCCCACAACTGATGTAAGATTAATGGGTCTATAATTAGTGGGACAATTTTTATCACCTCCCTTGAAAAGAGGAGTAACATTAGCCAACTTCCAATCCTCTGGCACCTGCTCGCTATTCAAGGGATTACAAAACATAGTAGCAAGTGCTCACATATACAATCCTTAACTTCCTTCAAAATCCTTGGGGAAATATTATCTGGCCCAGGAGCCTAATCATTCTTCAAACTTCCCAATTTTTTCTTAATAAGCTCAGAATTAATGTGATCATTTGTTTGATCTAGTTTCCATCTATTAACTGTTCAAGATGAGCAATATTATTTAAATCTTCATTAGTAAAAACTGAAGAAAAAGCAAAATTTAATAATTCAATCATCTCATAATCATCAGATATGAGCATTCTTTTACTATCACTCAAAGGTCCTACCCCATCCTAACATTTTGTTTACCCTTAATGTACTTAATAAAATCCTTATTGTTAATTTTTATATTTTCACCTAACCATTTTCATATATCCTTTTTTATTTCCTAATTTCCTGTTTGACCAACTTTCTTGATCTTCTATAATCCTCTAAACCTCCCATCATACCAGCCAATTTCAATTTCTTAAATTTGTGATGCTTTTCTTTAATTTTATCCCTTATACCCTTTATGAGCCAACTTGGTTTTTTACTTGTAGCCACCCTTTTCTTTCTATAAGTAATAAGTTTTATAATGGAGCTTGGAGATTGTAATATTACCCCAGGCAAATCTAGAACTTCGAAACTGCTTCAGTAGTCATATTCTAAAAAACAAACAAAAAACAACCCATTAGAAAGAGAGTCATTAATCATATTCTTGTTGTACAATAACAAGATTTGTTCAACCACAAGATCACATGGCCATTATTATTCTTTCTATAGAAGTGTTATTGTTTTATGAACATTTTGTGTGATCTTGTTTTTTTTTTTGGGTTGAGTCAAACTTACTTGATCTCTGCAAATACTGCCAAACTCCATTTGCTTCATGTTCTGCCTTAAAATACCGAATACATAAAGTCATGTGAAAGAAGTGCAGCATAGGTAACAACCTAAGATGTTACTATGTTATAAGACCACGTAAAAGATATAGGGCCAGATTCTTTACAGTAGGTATCTGACTTGTCAGTGATAAATTTCAACAATAAATGGACAGCACACAATCCACTTATTTTAAAATAATATATTCAAAACAAGTCAAACGTATGTACAAAAATTCGTTACACTATTTGTTATCATAGTTGTATCCACAGCTTTAAATAATTATCTCTTTTTTGTCAAAGTCCACAGAAGTGGGTTCAATTACTTTAGAACCCCCCTTTGAAAAGACAAATTATTCTCCTCTATCTCAGTTTTTACAATACAAGCTGTCAAATTCACTTTAGAAATCACCTGTTATGGCTAATTAACAAGTAGTCTAACTTCACTTTTCCTTTCACTCTCATTAACTTAACTTGCACTAGCTTGGTTGCCTATATATATTGCCTGACTGAGTCCTAGAACTTTCTACACACTACAAGACATTATAGTGTAACAATACTCAATGAAACAATGAGAAAAAGTTAGAAGATTCGAGTAACATGACATCAATTCACAACAACTGAACTATACAACAAATAATTGGTAAACAGTTATGTAATCAAACCTGTGATAAATTATCACTTCTAAAAATAATTTAACACTCATGCTTTATAACAATCTAAATCATAACTCTCATATTCAATTTAAATGAAACAGTCGTGTAGCAATGTGTAAGATAGTGTCCTAGAATAGAGTATATATGGCTGGAAAAAGATATATAACACAAGTAGCAATGTGTAAGATACAGCCCTGTTATAGGGTAATATGATTACATACATTGCTACTTGTGTTATATATCTTTTTCCAGTCCGTATATACTCTATAATAGGACACTATCTTACACATTGCTGCTTGTGTTATATATCTTTTATGTAATCATATTACTCTATAACAGGGCTGTATCTTACACATTGCTACTTGTGTTATATATCTTTTATGTAATCATATTACTCTATAACAGGGCTGTATCTTACACATTGCTACTTGTGTTGTATATCTTTTTTAAGATACAGCCCTGTTATAGAGTAATATGATTACATAAAAAAATATACAACACAAGTAGCAATGTGTAAGATACAGCCCTGTTATAGAGTAATATGATTACATAAAAAATATACAACACAAGTAGCAATGTGTAAGATACAGCCCTGTTATAGAGTAATATGATTACATAAAAAATATACAACACAAGTAGCAATGTGTAAGATACAGCCCTGTTATAAAGTAATATGGTTTAAAAGATATACAACAAATGTCAGTGTGTAATATACTGTCCTGTTATAGAGTACATACAGCAAATAGAGTATATACATACATGTATGGACAGTGTAAGAAACTACTCTGTTATAGAGTGCATATTACTGCATAAAAAATATGTGATATAAATAGTTACATGAAAGATATGTATCCACCTGTAAGACAATGCCTGACAAAGTGCTTGCCCAAGTTCATTAATCTCCCATGAGATATTTAGCATGTTCTCTACACATAGTTTACCCCATGTTCCTTGCTTCTGTACCAGTACATAACCTTCCTTCTGATAGAAGTTGGTGAACACTGTAGATTTTTCTGCTGCAAGCTTTACTGTAGAAGATAAATTAAACAAACAATTTAAATCATCAAGAAATAAGATGACACTTAGAAAAAAACACAAAAGTATGTGGAATAAAATGTTGACCATGTTTCAATTTAATTTATTAAAATTTAAATACATGCATTACCAGCTTTCGACAAAATATAAGAATATTCTTTACAAGGCTTACTCTTTAGTGCAACATCAAATAAAACAGAAATAACAATAAAACCACACAAATCAAATTCAAAAGTAAAAACATATAACAAACAAATGTAAATTTAACAATTTCCTCTGTTCGCTATTAAAATTTTTTCTGAAAACATGGTCTGAGCTAGTTTATGTTTGTTCAATTAAGGTACTTTATTTTTTAACTCTTTAAAATAATATCTTCAGTGTCTTCATGTAAGTATTCTTTGACAGATACCCAACACATTTTAATATGTTATTAGCATAACACTGTTGAAATATATCATAGAGCTTTCAGCTAATTATTTTTTGACTACTGCTAATTCATTTTGAGATTTAATCTTCTAATCTTTGGAGATTATAACTACATATTTTTTCTCATAGAACTACACTGAAAATCTGTGTTATTTCGATTGACAACTGTGTTATGTTGAGATATGAATATCATACTTACAACAGTTTTTTTCATCAGTTCCAAATGGACAATCTTGAAACCCATCACAGACACTAGTGTTACTGATACACATTTTAGCTCCTTGACAAACAAACTGACCAGCAGAGCACCAGTCTAAAAGTCAGTAAAAAACAGAATAATCAACCAAGAATCAAATGTGCAAGAAATATAAAAAAAAAGTTCTAAATTATTTGGGAGTTCTGATATACAAAAGGTTCATATACAAAACAAGGCATAGAAGAGACATGAGAGTATTATGTTGCTTGAGCTGATAATAGATAGAAAGATCAAACATCAACCAAACCTTAGAAAATATTAAAGACAACTATAATAAAAGAAGCTAATAAGTTATTTCACTTTGTTTCAGTGAGATCAAAGATATGAAGTCATAATAAAGGTAGAGATTAAAATTAGATTCTCAATACAAATATTATTATATATTAATTTTGACTGCCTGATAATAAAGAACCAGCTGTATGTAAAAGTTAGCTTACTACACAAAACTTCATCGCTGTAGTCCCAACAGTCAACAATACCATCACAACATTTTTTATGTTGTCCTTCAGCCTCTAAATAGTCCACACAAGCTAGAGAAAAGAGAACACATTATTTCTATTAGAGAGCTAACATAACAACCGAATAACTTAGATATTTTTGTGATTACAGTCTATTGAAAGAAGTTTATAGTGATGTTAAGTGTACAACACAAAGCTAGAAAATAATGATTTAGAATCTCCCAGCTTCTCTTGATTTTCATTTCAAAGCATGGATATACTTAGCAGTTAACTTTGATAGGTATATTCATTTTTTAAAATAAATTTCTACCAGAGTTTACCTTATCCAGGTTATTGTGGTAGAATAAGTAACCATGACATCATCTATTAGTCATAAACTACCTCTAGCAAACCACATAAATCTAATGAACATTTTATTGTTTTATCCCAAATGGCCTTTATAAATAGGTTTCTGATAGTGCATAAAAGGGCCTTGTTTAAATTATTTCTGTTATAAGTTCTTAAGAACATGTTGGAGATAGACTCTCTAGTATACTGTTATATATTCAACTGCTAATTACTCTTTCTTTTTCATGACATATGTGTGTGTGTTGTATGTGTATATACAACAAACTATAATCATAAGATCCATCACTACAATAAATATTTACATTCAGGAGCAGACTTGCATTAAAGACAATATCACATGCTGCATACTGACTAAACAATTAAAATTTGAACTAAATTTCTAAGAATGCATCAAATGCACAAGCCTACCAAACAATTGCCCAGTACACGTCCTGGTGGGCCAATCTGCCCCTGTTTACATTACATTAACAACTCAATAAGATACAGTTTCCATGTTAATAACAATACTCTTTCCACAGTACTTCCTTAAGTAATGAATTATATAATAAAAAGTTATCACTAACCTACATAAACTATAAAACTACACCTTAGTTACCATGGTGATAAAATTAATGTCTTTAAAGAACAATATGAGAGAGCATATTGCATATTAAAGCTTTGATACCAATGAGCAAATGCTATCAATCTACTTGTTAGTTTCCAAGGTGACATAAAACTTAGTTTCTACGGCACGGCATAAGATAAATGACATGAAAACCTTATGCACTAGTATATACAAAGTGTCAATCCATCCATTAGTTACCAGTTTTCAAGAGGAATCTGTGTTGCAGTAGCAGAAAACATATCATTTGAAGAAGAAATATACATTACTAATTAATTAATAAACAAAAAATATTGTACAATAGAGAAGCTTTATAACTATATCCCTTTCAATTTGTTTCTAGAAAAAAGATTAAGGTTGTCAAGATCCTATGGTGCAAAATTTTAGATAAAACATTTAATTACTTTATTAATGTTTTCCATACCAATATTTTGTTCTTATAACCCACTAAAACTAAAATTTAAATAGAAAAGTTATTGTATTTTTAAGATAAATGATGTAAGAAACAAAAGAAAAACTTTGTTTTACATCATATCAGCAAAATCACAGTATTTCATTTTAAAACCACCTTTAACATGGCTAACATTACTTACTGGTATTAGACTTTGAATGTTCAGTTCCTACAACTTGACTTATGTCGTGGGAAGACTCCTTGATTGCAGCAGTCACCTTGTGAAGAGCAGGTTTAATTTCTTTGTTAACAGATGTGATTGTATTTTGGACAGGTGGTATGCCAAAGGAAACATGCACACTTGACACAATTCGAACAATACTGATCACGTTCTTAGTCTTAGGGTTCTCTGATGTAGATTCTACATTATGTTTCTGGGCAAACTTTGGATTTTCATTTAGCTTATGCTTATTTTCAATATGAGTGCTTTCCTTCCAACCTTTTTCTCGTGTATTTTGGAATTGTTTAATATTTGCTAAACTTACTAAAGTAGAATAATTTGATGGGATTATTTTAGGAAAAGGATAGACATAAAGAGGTTTTCCATGTAGGTCAGAGGGAAATAAACCAGAATTTGAGGTTATTTTAATGACAGGTAAGTTTGTGTTCTGGTTACTATAATCATTAAAAAGTTCACTCTGGAGAGTAGAGGGAAATAAAGCAGTACTCTTAATTACCTTAATGAGAGACAAGTCTTGAGTTTTATCACTATAAACATTGACAGGTTCACTCTGGAGATTAGAGGGAAAAAAAGCAGAATTCTTAACTATCTTAATGAGTGGTGAGTATGTATTTTGATTACTATAAGCATTTATAGTCTCCTTCTGGAGATCAGATAAAAATAAAGCAGAACCTGTAATTATCTTATTGACAGGTGAGTCTGTATTCTGATTACTAAAATGATTCACAAGTTCACTCTGGATATCAGGAGGAAATAAATCAGTATTTGCACTTATCTTACTGACAGGTGAATGATTAATTGGGTCACTATTAAGGGGGACAGATTTATTTTTTAGGTCATTCAAATGAGGTGAGTATATGTTATGGTTACTATAAATATTGACAGGTTCACTCTGGAGATCAGAGGGAAATGAATCTGTACTTGTAGTTATTTTAACTAGAGGTGTGTTTGTAATCTGGTCACCATAAATGTGGACAAATTGACTATCAAGATTATCAGAGTGAAATAAAGTAGAGTTGTTAGTTATGTCAACCTGGGATGATATATTAATTTGATTACTATAAAAATATGTTGTAGAATTCAACCAGTCATCTCGTTGACTGCTTGTTTTATTAAAATAAAAAGTAGAGTAAGACATCAAATTCAAATGCTTTGGTGCCTGTATATCTTCATTTGAAGAATCATGTGTTGTTTGAATGTAAAACCTTGAAATCACTGGTGAGATGTTATCAAAGATCACTGGAAATTCACCCTTGAAGAGATTGGTTTTATTAACTAAATTATCTGTTGATTCATTAGCATATTGTTCAAATTTATATGTAGGTAATGGCTGTAGTTTATTGTTGCTGGGATAGCTCCACTGTTCACTTTTCAGTATTTGTTTGAATTCAGCTGATGTCTCCTGTCCCTTTGGAATGAGTGATTTATAAATCACAGTTTCAGTATTAAACAAAGGATCCACTAGTTGATCAACAAATGGACTAGAATTTTCTTCCGCTAAAAAAATGGATGAATATATATCAACTTGACTAAAAGTGGAAAGCAAGTGATGATGTTGACGAAGTTCATCTTTTGTTTCAAATGTTGAAGTAGGCCACAAGGGCAGGATATTGTAAAAGTTTGAGAACACAGAGCTGTGGCCATTGTGAATGATCTCACTTTCATTTTTTTTAACAAGTGACGCAAAAGATGATGGAGAATTAGAAATGAGTATGGATGTGTGCAATGTTGAATTGGTAGTAGAAATCTTTGTGATGGTTTTATTTTGTGGCAAGTTGAGAATAAAGCGTCCAATTTTCGGTGCTGACTCTGTTGCTGTAACACAAGCACCACGTAAAATGATAAGTGTTTGAACAGATAAATTGTTATTAGTAAATTATAATACTGAAATGTTCCATACACTAATACAGAAATAAACTGGCACTCAGATGTTTAGTTACTTTTTGGTCTGGAGCTTATTATTAATACAATATAATATTCAACTATATTACAGAAGTGTTATTCTTCTTTACAGTTACATATATTATTTTTTATTCAACCACGGTTAAGGTTTTATAGATTTTAGTCACCTACTTTCAATAAATTGTATAGCACTTACGATCAGTCAAACTCACTTAAAAGTTAATTAAAGCAACGAGGTAACAAATATGATATATAAAGTAATCCATAACATACCATAGGAAAGGCGTTGTTTCGTGACACCTATATATACAAAATAATAAAATTTCATACATTCTGTACCTTTTGAATATTGAACTCAAAGATTATTTAACAAAAAAGTAAAATAAAATAAGAAATTGTAGATTACAAAATACAACACATAAATCTTGTAATAATGATGAATAATGTAAATTAAAGCACTTGAACTTTTGTATCAGCTGTTTTAGTCCAACAATATCAAAGCAAATAAGTAGAGCGAAGTTAAGGCCCCTGAAAGAGCCTGTATAATCTTAACAGTCACTTAAACAGAAAAAAAAGCAATTAGTTATAGTTAAATGTGGACAAAACGTTAGTAATGAATTAGCATAGGATTTTCATGAACATCATTGATAAATTAGCATATTCGTATAACATGACCTTTAAAATTAGCACGAAGTTTGCAAGGCTTGTTTACAACGAAGAATGGTTGTATCATCAGCGTAAAACTTCACTGCCAATTTTAACTGCAATTATGTTAAATAATTAATATACATGTGCAGTAGAAAACAAACTCGGTCCTAGAACTAAACGGCCTGAACCGTAGTTACTTCACAGTTAACAGGAAGTAAATCTGTGCTATATTTCAAGAAATAAACATACTGTGTAAGATTTGTAAGATACATTTGTTGTATATTTAAACAGGAACCTATAGTACCCCAAATAAACAATTAGCTAAAAAGGATTTTGTGGAGGATTATATCAAAAGCTTTCTTTAAATAAATAAAACTTCCACTGTAGTAAACCCAATATCAATATTTGATTAAAGTCTTTCCGCGAATTTAACTAAAGCAGTTTAGTACCTAACTAGACCACCGTAACCCGTTGGGTCAATTGTTTGTTTGTTTTGAAGTTATGCACAAAGCTACACAATGGGCTATCTGGGCTCTGCCCACTACGGGTATCGAAACCCGGTTTCTAGCGTTGTAAGTTCGCAGACATGCCGCTGTGCCACTAGGGGGCCCGTTGGGTCAACCATTATTCAGAGATTATGAAGAATTCAAGCTAATTTTAATATTGCACCGAATTGAGGGTTTATTTTGAGATAATTTAATTAAATATTTCAATCCATCCGTGTTATTCATAATTCCAGAAAAGATATTTGATTGTTGATCGGGAGTAAAAGGAAAGACCATTTCATTTTTTAAAAAAGTAAAGTAAGAAGTTTCGTAAAGAGCGCGAACGGCAGTGTGATGTAAAAATACCAATGTTAGAAATTTTTATAAAAGTGACCCGAAAAACGGCGCTAACTCGGTAACCCGTGGCCCGATTTTAACGAAACTTGTTTTATTCTGTTTCTATTCTCATTTCAGGGGTACCGTATTGTTACATATCTCCTTGTTTGTTAATTTCCGGTATAAATTATTTCCGAGAAACTTCAGCGATACAAGTCCTTTCTTGATTAACCCAGTTTATTCTTCCCCGATACAAACTTTTAATTCACAGTAATTTCACAGTGAGTACGTAC